ATGTCGGTCTCCAGACGATCCCTGTCCGCGCGGAGAAGCTCTCCCTCCTCGGCTAGCTTCCCCGAATTTTCTTTCTCCAAGACCAGCATCTCTCTCTCAGCGGCCAGCAGCGATGCCTGCTCGCGGAACATCTCCTCGGAGCGTTCCAGGGCAGTCCTTAACTTCCGCGAGCTCGAGGTGAGAGCCGCTTTCTCCTGCTCAAGTTCTTCAATACGGACAGGATCCTCCCCTTCCTCGGACAACACCAGGGCCATTTCGGCCATTTTCACCAGCCCGGCCATGCTGGGGGCCAGGTGCCTCTTCCGATCCTCCTTACTCATCCTCTTGATAGTCTCATCCTCATCGGCAACCACGAACAGAGGGAATCTCTCAAAGAAACCCTCCTCTTTGAAGCAAGGGGGGAAACCGAAGGACCTAACGGCGCTGGTGTCCTCGCCGACCGCCGGCCCGCTTTCCACCCGGTTCCTCTTTCTTTGTATCAGGTCGGCATGTGGCTCGACCTCTTGAACCTCTGGGATCTCGTCCGACGCGGCCCCCGAGCTGGGCGACGAATCCACCCTCACCACTTGAGGAGCGCCCGGATTATGCGGCGGGCCCATCCTCGTTGCCTGGGGAGCCTTCACGACCCTCCTACCCCGCTTCTGGTCGCAAGACAGCTTCAAGAGTCTTTCCCGTCGCCCGGCCATCGAACCTGCACAAAATAAAAGACGGGTTAGTGTCGAGCAAGTTCATAAATAAATGACAAGCAAAGAAAGTTAAGCAACAAACGACCTAGCAGACGAGCAGCCTGTCTGAACGACTGGCACTCCACGAGTGCCTTAGTATCGATCGGTCGGGACTCGAATGTCGGATAACCCTCCTCGTCCAAGACATCTTCCCCCTCCCTCGTGGCCCACCTGGCGGGGTGGAAGCTGTCAACGAACCGACAAAGAGTGTCGTACGCCTTCTCATCCTCGGAGCACATGTCGCCCGCAATGGTATGATAGTATCCAGTCTCGTGCTCGTAATGCCTGAACATCCAATGCACGGGGAACTTGGCCGTGCGGGCCATCACGGGATACCCGTCGTTGTCTAAAATCGCCTCCCCGTCATCATCACTTATGGGCGCCTCCTCCTCGTACAGGGATTCTAAAGCAGACGTGGTAACCGGCCTCACGACATACCACTTGTCTTTAAAACCCCTTACGGAGTCCATATACATCTTGAATAGTCTCCTCGACTGTTTTAAGGAGACCCAGCTGTGCTTCCCTCCTCGGGACTGGCGCTGCAGATGGAAAATTCTGAAGAAGAGCGGTATAGTCGCCCCAATCCTCAGAAAACGACATGTCAGCTCAAATGCCCGGTTAAAGGCGAGCGAGTTCGGGTGTAGCTGCGACGGGGCCAGCCCCAGATGGGCGAAGACCCCGGTCTGAAAGTCACTGAAGGGCAGCTGCAGCCCAAGATCTTTGAACGCAATTTCGTACATGGGGAAGCTATACTCGGGGTACACCGAGCAGATCCGGGCATTGGAGGTCGGCCGCATAACGACGAAATTCTTTTGAAAATCAGGCTGACCGTGGCCCGCCTCGAGGACAGCATATGGTTTTCGGTTGGCTATAGATCGACGCGATTCCTCTGGGCTCGTCGCCCACCCAATCCAACAGAGGGTCGTCGACAGTGTCGATCAAACTCACCGCCTCGTCGGCACTTTGTTCCTCCCGTTCGGGGCGTCCAGAGGAGCACGGCTCGTCCGCTATGGTTACCTGCAGAGCACGGGAAACCAGTCAATTGGGCACGAAACCATACGCTCGACGTAATAGACCAGATGTAGTGTACGACAAACCACGTCGCTCCATGCACGACCACAAAAGTTAGTTTGCAACAACATAGCAGTCGCCTTCCCGACGTCCGGATAACTCGATGAGACCTTCTCCAAACCGCCTAAGCAAACCGACAACGCGGTCATTCACGAGTATGCCTACCCAAGGTATGAACATGGCGAGCAACATCATAAAACCTACGGCCAGAGCCATGAACATACCGGCCACGATCATGAATCAGGCGCCCTGGATCATGAAGACCCCGGGCAGCACTTTAGATTGTAACCTAAACTATGTATCTACCGGCCACGAGCGTATGTTTGCCGGTCCTAAGCATGAATTTGTCGAGCTAAACATGAATATACCGGGCTAGTCCCACGCGCACAGTCCCTAAAATGTCTACAACGGTGAAAATCATGCATCACAACAGGAAAACGAAGAAGATAAATCACTTACTTGCAATCAGGGAGTAAGTTCTGCAACGGAGGGAAGGAATCTGTGACGGGAATCGCAGCTATGCTATAAAATCTGGAAGAACAACAGCAGTAGGAGCGCAAAGAGTAGTAACGCGTTATGGGGTCCAAGGATCCTATTTATAGTGATGACGTGGAATACCAAATGTCACCTCGGGAAACCACGAAGTTCCTCTCCTCGACGCACGGCTCCCAAGGCAATGATGACCCTATCATCATAGGGTGGCGGCACAATTCCCGAAAGATACCCTGCGCGCTCGACAGATGCGCGTCGGTGAGGATTCCCCGAGCATCCACCATGAAAGATTTGTCTCCGAGCACGACACGGAGAGGCCCTCGAGGACCTGCATCTCTGACCCGGGCGCGAGACCCCGAAACGGAAACGACCTGAGATCAAGCCATGGCTCCTAACCAAGGAACCACGACTTGGGGGGCTCCTGTTCTGGACTGGGCCCGACAGGCCCAATAGCATTGATAAGGCCCAATCCAAATGGACTTGCTGAGGACCACGCCGACCAAAGGGACACAGTTGTGCCCGACGTGCTCCCTGAGGTTACTTGCTCGACCTCCAACTGTCCAGCTCGACATCCTGCCGTCCAACTCGACATCACCGCGAGCACCCCAACTAGGGCAGACTCATTCCACTGCACTCCAAACGAGACCCCAAAAAGACCGCGTCTCTGTCCACCCGCACTTCACGCCGAACATCCAGGGAGGGGACCACGTGCGGGTCCCCACTACGCACGTAGAACCTGGAAGTTCCTCCATTGGGCCAAACCTGCCCGGCCCAATGAAGGAACCTTGGTCCAGCGCTGGGGGTTATAAATACCCTCTGTTTCCAGAGGATCAGGTATTCATCATTCTACCCATACTTACTATTGCCTGCTCGTGCTCTTACTTACTTCAGCATCAGAGTGTCTTGCAGGTACCCCCACCTCGTTCAAAACTTTCAACTCGGAGTCAGCCGTGACGGTCCAAGTCTGATCAGATTAGATCAGTTGTTATTGAGGTTGTTTTCTTTAAGGGACCAGGTTAGGTCATAATTCTTGAGAAGTCAATAACACTTGTTATTCAAGTTGATTTTCTTGAGGGACTAAGTGTTTATTCATGATCCTTTAGAAGACATTGACGGGTAATATTTGTGGTTGTAATCATAGAATTAATTATTGGATTAAATCCTTATTAATAAGGCAAAATCATTCCGGTGGATGGACTGAAAGTAACCTCGTTAATGGTGAACCATGATAAAAATACTTGTGTCTTTTATTATTGTTGTATGCTTTGTGTATGTATGTTATTTGAAATATGGGTGTTCGAAGAGATTTTATTCTAGAAACTCAATTCAACACCCCTTATTTCTTGTATTTTATTGAACCTTCAGAAAGCGGGTATTAAAAAAGTATAATGGTGATATGTTAGATATTGTGCAGAGTAATAGTTTGATTGGTAATATATGTTGTAGTTGCAAAAGGTCATGAATGCATAAAGGGAGATTAGAAGCATACCAGAAACTGAAAAGGCAGGGAACATTATATAAAAAGTTCCCATAATTAAAACTGGATTATATGGAAAGATAAGGGCACCGATGACATTTCTATCCAATGAGTTGGTTACCATTGAACCAAATATCAAATTACTCTAGAAATCAAATTTTTGGACACTAAAAATCCCCCATTTTTGACACGTATCATCCCCAAAACTAAGGGCAAAGTTGGTGTTTACATAGTCATCAATCTTTTCATATTAATATAGATATTGGAGGTGTAGAATAGCTCAATTTATAAATATTAATTGAGTTAAATTGATGTAAGTTACTAGTCCAAAGTTCGATTGTATCATTAATATCTATTTATATGTACATTAATATATATTAATATGTATATTAATGTAAATAAATTATTACTATTTATAAATCTATAATATATATTTCAATTACCATGTAAAAAATAAAAATAAAAGAATATTTAAATGTATAATATAAAAGTATAATTAAGAATTATTGATATTGTGAAATGAAAGTGTTATAGTAAAAAAATAAATGGCATATTTCTTAAATGTGATAACTATTGTTGACAAACAAGTATAAATAAATATTAGTATACAATAAACACAAAATCCGAAAAAGATTTTATACAATCTCTAGTTGTTAGATTAAAATTTCAATTCTCTCCTCCTCGGTCATTATTATAATAATAAAAAGTAATTTTAGATTTTGATCATTATTATAAAAAAATTATTAATTTTTAAATTAATTAATATTTATATTATTATTATTATTATTATATCATTAATTTAATTTAAAGATATTAAATATTAATAAACTAATCACATATAATTAAGAATATATTTGATGTCAGACTTTTTTATAATTATAACATGGGAAATAAAAGAAAAAAATGAAATAAAGAAAGTAGATATTAAACGCAAAAAGAAGATCCAAATTCCAATTATAGTATGATGTGATTTATTACTAAAAAAATTAAACGAAGAAATGAACACTCGTTTTCTGCAATACAGGCTGGTTCACTCTAATGGTTCCACTTATAAACTCCATCTTCTATTGAATCATAGCCTTAATTCAATCTCTTAAATTATTCATGAGATTGTATAATGTTTACAATTGAATCTATTAAATATAAAGTCACAGATTCAATCTCATATTAATATAGTATTTAGTATCAAACATTTCGAAAACCCTTACAAATTCAAATGTAACACATCTTCATCAATGGACATTTCCGTCAATTCCTTATTCACATTCATCTTCTTCTTCTTCTTCACCTTCGTAGCTTCTAACCCTTCCGATTCATCTTTCCAAACCACCTACAACCGTCTCTGCAATGACATCGTCCCCGTCCCCGCCTCCGCCTCCTCGCCGCCGTCCGACACTCCAACCACCTCCGCCATCGCCCAATCTCTCTACTTCCAATCCGGTTACTTCTCCGGCGGCGATCCACTTTTCAACCTATCCCCCGACTCGAGCTTCTACAAACACGTCTCGTTCCATGTCACCTCCGCCCGGAGAATCCCAACCGACAGTACAAGCGACGGCGTATATCAATTGCTAGGGAAATTGAATCTCCGGCAACGAGCGAGAGTCCGGTCCAATCCGACGAGGGTTTATCCGGGACCTAGGGTTCCGCTGAGGATGCGTGTTCCTTCTCTGAAAGGTTTTTGGTCACAATCTTCTGGTAAGCTTTGTATGTTTGGAAGAGGATCTTATGGTAGTAGAAACAATCTCAGAGATGTTAATGTTGTTATTAAGCTTCGTTACCCGAATCGTGTTACGCTTTTGGATAGTTTGATTACTGGAACTGTTGAAAGTTTTGATGAAATTAATAGCTTGCATTATTTTGAACCTGTTTCAATGTTGACTGTATCTCAGAGTTCGAATTATAATTTTACAATGGCTGGGAACAACGATGATAGTCGTTGTGTAGCGGGATCTGGATCGAATGAGGAAAGTTTGAACCTTGGAAATTTGAAACAAGGGGTCTGTCCTGGGTTTCTCGATCATGTGGATAGCTTTCATCTTGAATATGGGAGTCACTGTAATAATATTAGTTGCAATCCCTTTGGTGGTGAAAAGTTGCTTGGTTTCATGGGTTTGTACACAACTCGGTGCGTAGAGAGGGGGAAGATTCAGATGTTGTTGGATTTTCATGATACGGAATATCGTGAGTGGTTGCTTCTGTCTCGTCCGAATACAACATTGATATCTGAGGGGGTGTGGGACGAGAAGGAGAATCGGCTTTGTGCAGTTGCGTGTCGGATTTTGAACATCACAGGGTCTCCTTATGTTGGAGATTGTTCGATTAAGCTTACGTTAAGGTTTCCTGCTGTGTTGTCTTTAAGAAATAGGAGTACTGCTTTGGGCCGGATATGGAGTGATAAGCTTGTTGGTGAATCTGGCTACTTCGGCAGCGTGGGATTTGAAAGTATCTTGAGGAGATCAGGAAGTTCGCCTGATGGTTTACAGTACAAGTATACTGAAATTGACAGAGTAAGAAAGTCTTGTGCCGAAAAGGTGACTGCTAGAGGAAAAGGAAAGAACTATCCAGATGTATATTCTTCTGATATAGCATTTAGCATGGTTGTGACAGACAACAAAGGGCGAGTAACTCAAGGTTTCTCATTACCATTGTTTGTTGGTGATCAAAGTTATGAAGGGCGGCCTCATGGGGTTCCATTTCTTCCGACGAATGGTGGAAACTTGAAAGCACATGGTTTTCAAAACAGCAATTCATTGAATGTCAGCTATGCATTTTTCCTTAAGCCTTCTGATGTTATGTTTGGTAATGAGGTCTCATCAACAGAAATCAAAATTAGTGCTGAAGGATTATACAACAGGAACACTGGAGTAATGTGTCTGATAGGGTGTCGGCATTTGAGAACAAATAACAAATTACTGACGAAGAATGAGTCTCTGGACTGTGAAATCATGATTAATGTCCAGTTTCCTCCATTGAATGCAAAAGTAGGTGAACCTGTTGAAGGGACTATAGAAAGCACGCGACAAAAGACAGATTCTTACTATTTTGAACCCCTTCAGTTGTCTTCAGATTCGTTAACCAAACGAGAAGCAGACGCATCCATTTGGAGAATGGACCTTGAGATCATTATGGTAATGATATCTAACACACTTGCTTGTGTGTTTGTAGGATTGCAACTCCTCCATGTGAAAAAGCACGCAGAAGCACTTCCTCACATTTCCATTGTGATGCTTCTATTCATTACTCTAGGTCACATGGTTCCCCTGATGCTGAACTTTGAAGCCTTATTCAAGGTGAATCACAATAGTGTGCAGGATGCTTTTCTTGGGAGTGGAGGCTGGCTTCAAGTGAAGGAAGTAGTTGTGAGAATGGTGACAATGGTAGCTTTTCTTCTAGAGTTGCGTCTTCTACAATTGACATGGTCTTCAAGACAGACTGAAGAAAGCCAGACACAGACGGGTTTGTGGGTTTCTGAAAAATGGGTTCTATTCATTATTCTACCATTGTATTTTACCGGTGGATTAACTGCATGGTTCGTGCACATATGGAAGAATTATCGCCAGAAAAGCTCTCGACCCTTCCGTCTTTCTCGCCACAAGTTTAAAACTCCTCGTCAACATTTTAATCAACTGCCATCACTCTGGGAAGATATGAAATCTTATGCTGGTTTACTCCTAGACGGGTTTTTGCTCCCACAAATTATGTTCAACATATTGTCAAACTCAGAAGAAAAACCATTGGCATCTTTGTTTTATTTTGGAACAACCATTGTTCGCATACTGCCCCATGCATATGATCTTTATAGAGCTCACAGCTCTGCATGGCACCTTGGTATATCATACATATATGCAGACCATAGTATGGATTTGTATTCAACAGCTTGGGACATCGTAATTCTAATTGGTGCTCTTTTATTTGCTTTAGTTGTATGCTTACAGCAAAGATTTGGCAGCCGATGTTTTCTTCCAAAGAGGTTCAGGGGAACTTCTGCATATGAGAAAGTACCTGTTATTGGTAATGACGATTTGTGATAGCTTTATATTGATTGGATTTTGTAGAATGAGTTTTATTTTAGCATTGGAAAAGAATTATCACAATGGCAGATACACATTTCAAAATGAGAGTATAGGATTTTGCTCATATTTTATGCTACCATTTAACACTTATAAAAAAAATTCCTACTTAAGTTTCCTCAATAAAAGAGAGCCACAAACATAAACAAAGTTCGCTTCTCATTTTAAAAGAGATAAAAGTAACTTGACGTATAATTGATTTTGTTGTGTTTGGTTTCTAAAAATAGAATTTATTATGTTTTTAAAATTAATTCTACTTAAAAAGCTAAAATTTTGTTTAAATATGATTTTTATTTTGAAATTTAACCTTATATATATAAGCTCGATTTGATTTTACAAAATTATTTCTGAAAATTAATTTTTTTGTCACCATGGAATCAAGCACAAGCTAACATTTGGTTCCATATTTAGAGCATTCTAATTTGACATGTTTGAATTGCTTTCAAGTATAAGTTTTCGAATTTAGTGTCCAATTTATTTTTATAAATAATACCCCAGCATAAATTATTTTATATTAAATTCACAACCACTGAATATATACAAACAAAAGTGTGGTGGAAACACCAAAAGTATGCACCGATTACTACAAATGCCATGAGTGGTGCATCAACAAAATGTTTGTTTAAAAGATTGCAACTTTAAGTTCCCGTTGCTTGTATCCATCGAGGATCTTTACTGGGTACTTGGTAAGGTAGGTTCTATCTCAGATTGCAAAGAGAAGGTATAACTTGGTGTGCTTTAGAAAAATGGGAATGAGAAATTGACAAGGACAAAGGAAAAGAGATAGTGATTGTGGCATTGCAAATATAGTAATGAAGGAGAAATTAGTGTTGTTTAGCCATCTATGAGCAGCAGCGCTCTTCACAAGAGCTTTAATGCCATTTAAGTAAAACAAAAACTCTGAAGAACGAAAGTAGCAGAATGAATCTTAAAATATAATCTAATGAACATGGTCAAGTAATAAAGTGCATAGCTAACTTGCAGATATACTATCTAACTGAAAACTGACTAGGAAACACGGCTGATCGTGTTCGTCTTTATCCACTAAAAGGTACAATATATACAGCAAGTAGATTGTCTTCAATGACTGATATGAGCAAATCACATGATTTTCCTTCAATACTAAACTACAAGCAGATGATTAATAATGTGACAATGGAAAACATGGTGATGTACTGTTTTCAGAGACGATCAAAATGTCCCTCCTTTCTTAAGGGATTGGGTCAAAGAAAATGTCAAGAAATTGTTGTGTACATACATGTTCATAACAGTCATGGAAAAAAGACTAAACTTTGGTTTTCTGATTTTGCATAACCTGAAAATAAGCATCAAGTTCGAATTAGATTTGTAAAATACTAATAAAAGCAAATAAATGGTGCAGATGATTGCTAGAAAAGAACATGCATGAGCAATTTAACAAAACAGCACGATTTAGCTAAATTTGTTTGGAAATGTAATTAAATGTAGTTTTAAGAAAACGGTGTTTTGGTTCTGATAAGTACATACATTAAATAAAGCAGTACCTTGGACTGGTATACTAACAAGTTGATACTTCTTCATGGAAGATACAGAAACATATCTCTCTCTGGTGCCACTGAAAACTTCTTTAGTTTTAAGCAAAGACCTGCACATGTAAATATATCCATGTCTTCATATTCAATTAACCAATAACTATATGATATTGCTAAGAACATGATGCATAAATTACCTGTAATGACACCTTAAGCAGATTTCTTGCCACTAACGATTCGAGATATCTGGAGACCCCTGCTGAAAGCTTCATTGAAGAGAATTCTAGTTTGCATTGATTGAAATCCAGGTAACCATGAGAGAACTGCCATAGGGGCCATAACAATAATTCCAAACAGTAAATCATAGAGTCGTGCCAAGGAGACCACAGTATCCCACACTAAAGTTGACTGTAGAAAAGGCCTAAGCACCTGGGCTATTAAAATAATCCCCCATCCTGTGGGAATGAATGCCAACGAACTTGTTAAAAGATCAACAAAACTGAAGCTAGTGAACTCCAGTAAGAGGACAATTACAAGAACTGTAACCATAGTCACAAGAAGCTGCACTAGTCGATAATATATGTGCTCATTTGTAGCATATTTATCCCGTGCATATGCTAGACTGATATAAATTGCAACAACAGCAACCATGAATATCCAAGACAGCAAGTACACGGCTATACTAGTATTGTTATCTGCAATACCCAGCTGATAAACAATGCCATACTGAAAGAAGAAAAATCGAAGGTCTAGAATGATTTCCAACAGCTTTCCCCATATACCGGTTGTTTTGAGATGATCTTGCTCCTCATACCACCATGTTTCCCAGCTGAATTCTGCCTTTCTGAATGGCCCTCCCGGATACCAAATCCAATTCACAAAGTCTTCGAAGTCATATACAGTCTTCAACCAATCAAACCCAGAGGGATTGAAGACAAAAGGAGACATTATCCATGAAACTACAAGAAACCAACTTGAGATTGTCATAGCTATGTAGACAAAAGTACCCTTAGGCAAGGGACTATGAGAAGCATACACAGTTAAAATAATTCCAAGTTCGATAGCCTTAACAAAATGACTTCTAGCATATAATCGATAGTTCTCGGCAAAACTCTTGTGCTCCACCACAAAACCGCGGCCAGTGGCTCGGTACTTCGCACCACCATGAAGTATAGTCCGGCCAAAGAAATGGGTACGAGTTCCCAAAGAGAATGTGTAGAATAATGACGCAAGCTGCAACTGCATTGTCAAGAAGTCCCATACTGCCGGAAGGAAACCGTGCTCAAGAGTATTTTCAACAACCATTGGGAGTGCAGTGAAAAGACCAAGCTGTATTATAAACTGCTGATTTACGATTGCACCAAGGGCTTTATTGTTGCTAGCATTTTTCTGGGCTTCCTTTTCAATGCCACTGAGGGCCATATAAAGGCGGCCCCAAAGAAAGGCATAGACTGTCAGTACAACTACCATGGAGTTAAAGTAAAATCCTACAGTTGTGTAGAACACTGAAAGCATGCGAAAGAAGTCTAATCTATGACCTAGCCGGTAAATATCTCTGCTCAAAACCTGTTCACCATTGCCACTTGCGACCTTCGCCTCAAACATGGATATCTGATTCAAGCCAACGTCTCTTCCTTTACCTACTTGTATGTATTCATGATGTGTCACATTGCCGCCTCGCAATGTACAATTGAAACCAGCAAAAATATCTTCACTGATATTGATCACTCTAGAAGCCTTGCTGACTCCACCACGACACAAGAACCAGAACCTGTCAAACACATCCGGATGACCATAGTGCATCCGTACTTTCAAAGGGTTTGCCAGAACTCGCTGGCCCAGTGTCACAAAACTTGTTTCTTGGGCTGACATGAACCAAGCAAGCGACGAAACAGATCCTGTGAAGATATTCTCTCGAACCCCCAAAATAGTTGGCTTCTTGATACCATGGTAGGCATTGAACTCCTCCAGCAGATTCCGCATTTTGAGAGCCTCCTCAAAATAATGGTCTTGATTCATATCTATTGTCTGAACTGCATCACCCCGCGTAAAGATCATGGCGTGATTCTGATTCTCAGGTTTCCCTTCTCCAAGTTTTAAAGGCCCAGGCAATCTGACCCGATAAATCTCAACCTCACTTTGCAATTGCTGATCAAACTTCACAAGAACAGAGTAATATTCAGTCTCTTCCCTCCCAAAAGAAACCTCGTCAACATATGCTACTCGAAGGGCCTCATTATTTTTCATCAAATACAGTATATCATCAGCTCGGGGATTCCTCTCTGCCTTGTGGCGTCCATACATCTGGCATGCCACAACATATGAGAACTTCATCATTGCACTCCCATATTCATGTCCCTTGAATAACAGCGACACACTGCTATCTGCCCTTCTCAATTTCCGTAGAGATGGGTGCCCATCGGAGGATAGAGTGTTTGAATTTCTGTTTTCGTATGTTGAACCATATGAAATAATATGCTCAGATCCCTCTCTTACATCCATCTCAGATGCTGAATCAAGAAAAGCGAGCATCTTAAGGGCACTATAATAATACATCATCCCCCTGACTGTGCGAGACAATGTTTGACCTCTATAAGATACCCAAAGGCGGAGGTCCCAAGCTTTTGTTGTCCAGATATCATCCTCATCTTTCAAGCCCTCTCTACGCATCCTTTCCATAAAATTATTCCATTCATCTTCATATATCTTCTGCAAATAAAACAAAGTAGTAATACCATCCTCATTTTCCTTTCGAAGAGACTCTTTGCTATATAAAACTTCCTCATCATAATATGGGGTCAAAACACTGAAAGCCATCATCTTTTCAACATAGGGAGCACGAGGCATGTTCATAAACAACGAATTGCTAAAGAAAGCAATCCGCCGTCGAGCCTCAAGATTCAATGGAACATTATGCATCGAGTCTCTTGAAGTAAGAATTGTATACAACCTTCTGAGCTGCCTAGTAAAGACTTCATCTCCGGCATCAGGAAACTCGATAGCAGTCTCAAAGAGCAGTCCCCCATCAGTTGTTGGACCTTCTAGCGCCAGACCTTCCTCAACCAACTGGGTGGCGGTCTTCTTTGCCTTTGGAAATCTTCGAACACACAATTCATATAAGGCTTGCAACAAATTTACAGCCTTATTCAAATCTTTCTTTGGTTGTATCGAAAGTTTAACAAGTTCAATCGCCTTAGCATGTAGCTCTGGTAGCAGAGACATCTTGAACTTTTCTGTTAACCTACCCTCCTGAATGTAGTAGTCTATTTCCCTGAATATATTAGTCACAATGGAAAACTCTACCTTATCAACTTTAAGAATCATAAGAAATAAGTATTTAATGCTATCATAAGCTTCAATGACAGCACACCGGCGATACTCACTCTTGCATATCCTCAACCAAAGTGATGTGTCAGACTCATTTTCCAGCTCTTTTGCCTGAGTGAGAGCAAGTAGTAGCTCATTGCATAGAAGGAAACACGGCCATCGAATTACCCTAATTTTCCAGCAATTTGGTGGCAGTTCCAAGAGTTCTAGTTCTCGATCACTAAGGATATCTTCCTCCCTGAAAGTTATGATAATCTCATTCCATATTAAAGCAAACCTGGTGGCGTCCACTTGGCTTGATTCAATTTTTGTGAAGGGTTTACCAAGTCCGTATCGTAATTTCAACCGACGGATGGCATCGCGAAGCTTCCTCAGCAACGTTGCCTGCTGACTTAGCAGCTTCTCCTCTGGCATCAGATTGAACTGCATTGCACTGGCAAAGAACTGGAACCGAAGCCTTAGTTGTGAGATATTCCGAATTTCACCCAAATGTGAGAACAAACCAATCGTACCACCAACAACGGCAGAGATAATCGAATACCATATTTGCAAATCCATGAAGTATATCAGCACAACAGGTAACCATAGCAAAACAACTGCAACTCTGTTGGTGTTATTGAAAAACTCATGCCATTTATAATTAATGTCCCTAAGTTTCAATAGGGCCTTTGTAGGAGCAACTAGAGGTTTGAACTGAAGAAAGTAACTGAACGAAAATTTTGAAGCTAATACTCCTATCCAGAAAAAACTATACTTCACATTATCAAGAAGCCCTTGTCTCACACCACGACCAACAAAAATCCTGGTATGAAACCACCACGTCCACAAGTATATTATACTCCAGTCCGACTCCTCAATGAAATTCCGTAAACACGGTATTACAAATAATACACATGCCAGCATTTCTGGTAAAAGAAAGCAGAAGACAATCTTAAGAAATGTAATAATCCTCTCATTTGCCTTATCAGACCAATTCCGATGAGAACCCTTCTCAATCCAAATTAATCCATAAAACACTCCAAACAAAACCGTCCATGTTATAGCAGCCAAACTCTTGAGCACCATCCTTACTCCACGCCAAGCAGTCTCTTTAGTAACCAAACTATACTGAGTTCCAGCATCAAGCACCGATTGAAGTATTCGAAGACCACCCCAAGTGATAAACAGAGTCAACATCTTGACTAGAACATCCTTTCTCTCTAATGCTTGCCATGGATACTTAGTATCCTCCCAAGCAACAATAATAGCACCCTGCATAAACAAAATCAGCATAACCCAGAGCCTATCAAAGCTCTTATAGATATTCCAAAACGACCTCTGTTCAACATACCCAGTTTTCCCGACGCGCCTAACCTTTGGCGTAGTCCCGAAAAAACTAGACTCAAACTTCAAAGGCCACCCTAGTTTCTTCAAACATCTCCTACTCCAAAAATACTCATTAATGTCATCATAATTCCTCCAAGCAGAATGTGGAGCTTTCCCATTTCTACTACTATCAACCTCAACCTTAATAGTATTACAAATAGGCATAACAACAGACTTCAAAAAACCACAATCACCCGAAACCGTAGGCAAAAAAGGACTAGCAGTATTAGGGTCTATAAACTCATCAAGAACCAAATTAAGCTCTTTCGCCATGAAATGATAAATATAACAAATACACTCAGGAACAAACCGAAGGTTACCAGCTTCGCCCCAAATTAGAAGGTAAAGACAAACATACAACAACTCCCGGCGAAGATCCGTCGGATCACGACGGCGGCGCGAGAGCAACACGCTAGACTTCAATCCAAGATAAGAACACCATGCAGTATAATTATGAAGCAGCTTCTTCCGAAACCTATGTAAAACTCCTCCGTCAAGCGAGTCAACTATAGCAGGAGGAGGTTCAAGCCGCATCTGAGCATTTGCAAGATGAAGAACCAAATGCTCCCTCTGATTCCTTGCGTTGTCGTTCTGAAACCCGAACAGTAACCGGAGCCAGTCTAGAAGGTCCATGCCCGGTTCCCACGCCATGAAACGGTGCTTTGGTAAGTCTCCGACGCTACGGAGTGCTGCTGCGGCGGCGCGTACTTCTGGATACCGGAGAGAAGGATGATCTATGAGGAGGTCGTGAACAGGAATAATGTTAAATACAGAGTTCAACGGCGGTGGCGGTCGAGGCTGGTTCACGGCAGCGCCACGCGCGGATGCGGCGGGGCGTTGTCTCATATACATTATAACCGTCTAACTGAAACTAAGCAGTTCAGAGTTTGTTACTAAAACTGAGAAGTTGAGAGTTTGTTATGAATACATTTCGTTTCGTGAGATTAGATAAGTTTTTCATTTTCTCGCCAATTTCTCCTTGTTTTTTCAGTTTCTGTTTCTTAGCTATGGCGGAAGAAGAAGATAGAGCCGTGAAGAAGGAAAGTCATGAAAAGAACTGAAACTTTTTTAGTTTCTGTGCAGTTTCAACACCACGCGCTGTGGGGTCGTGGGTGAGACGCGCTCCTTTTGTTGTGGGACCCGTTAATACCACTATAAATGTTCTTGAAATTTGAAACTGTTCGATCGATGAAGCGACGTCGTATGGAATCTTTTAATGGGTTTTGATCCGTCTGTAGTGATTGATATAACAATTAACGGCTGTGATGAAGCGTTTGAAAAGTGACGCCACGTGCATTTGTTTTTTTTATAATTGATGGGTTGGTGTTTTTTTCATAGTAATTGATGTGCATGTTTTATTTTGATCTAGATAAGAAATAAAACAGAGGAATCTATGCCTCGAATATACAACTATACAAGTCATTTATTATTACTGTTATTGGTACGAATATGATGGGTAAAATTGTATTTATCTGTTTTGTTGTACACTGGCACGTGCAACACGTGCCCCAGACATTGTAATTTGTCACGGTAATGTTATGTTCTTGTTAGTTTTGGTAAAGACAAAACTGAGGGGAATGAAAAGATAAAGAATTTTATTATCACATTATTTGAAATAAATTTGGTAAGAAAAGAAAAGTATTTAGATATTACTCACATTTATTTCTACTATTATAATTATTTAGTTCTTGTTAGTATTTATTTTTTTATTACATATTATAATTATTTCTACTAATATTCATATTTATTTTTATTTTTATTTTTATAATTTTTAATTTAAATAAAATTTATAAACATTCATAAAAAATTCAAATTTTCAGCAAACACATGCAAAGATATTATTTCTAAAAATAAATATCCATAAAATAATATTTTATAAATTCATATTTCCTAATGGAATTTGGGTAGTCAAAAAAGTATTTGAAATATGAAAAAATTTAACTATAACCAATTGCTATTGGGACTTGGGTAGTCAAAAAAGTATTTGAAATATGACAAAGAAAATTAATTATTAAAGCGATCAATGTTCAAACTTAGGGTTGAGTAACTTTCCTTACCGAACAAAAATTAATTTCCTTTTAAGAGATTGAATTGAATAAATAACCTCGTAAATAAATTAGCAACTAGTAGCTCTTGTGTATACGAGAGGGTTATGATAAATAATACAAAAAATCTGCCAAGAAAAGCATATTCAAAATATATAAATAAATTGTTTAAAATAGAAAAATACAATGTAAAAAACTTGGAAAAAGAACTTTTTTTTATGAACATCTTTGACATTTGTCATTGTCTTTTGTTTGAATAATAATTGTATTTGAGATCCTACAACACAGGTCATGTGTGTACTTGAATGGAAATGTTACTTAAATTCTGCATGGCTGTACATGTGAGCATTGCTTCACTTCTAGTGTTGAAGTTGAATACACAAGTCCTCACCATTGTTAATGTCAAGGGAACGAAACCTGAACATTGTCATCAGTTTCTTAATGTCATCTGCTAGATTTGACAGAGCATCAAAAATTTGCTTCATCCATGCAGCAGGTTTGGAAATTTCAAGCAAGCTATTCATATTTGAATCACTAGAACAAGTGGTATTTTCATTCACTCACTGGATCAATTGTTTTGTTTATGTAATTCCGACAAGTAACTCAGGTAGTAACATTGATAAAATAGACAAATTGGTCCTAAAAAAAAAAATAGTTCCGTATTTTTTCTATTTGACACACATTTTTAAATGTAAGAAATCATTTAAAATGGTTTTTTAAGATGAAGATGTCTATGTCACACAACCTCCAAGATTTGTGATTCAGAAGAAAACAAATAAAGTATATAAGTTGCACAAAACGCTCTATGGCCTCAAGCAGACACTTAGGGCATGGAACAAGAAGATCGACTCATACTTAGTCGAATTAGGATTTGTCAAATGCAAATCTGAGTATGGTGTCTATGTTCAGGTTGTAGCACAAGATATAACAACCGTCTACTTATATGTCGATGACTTGCTAGTGACTGGAAATAGCTTGGAAACTTGTCGAAGTTCAAAGAGCTGATGATGAAGGACTTTGAAATGTCTGATCTGAGAAAATTGTCTTATTTCTTAAGTATGGAATTTCAAATGTCGAAGCAAGGTATTGTGCTACATCAAAGTAAGTATGTCAAAGAAATACTCAAGAGATTCAGAATGGATGATTCGAATCCCGCATTCTCACTTGTCAAACCAAATATAAAATTGGAGAGGAAGACAAAGTAGATATAACTTTGTTCAAGCAAATTGTGGGATCTCTAAAATATGTGTGAAACAGTCGACCTGATATAGGTTTCGCTGTAGGATTAATAAGCAGATATATGAGTGAACCAATAGTGTCACATATGAAGGCTGCAAGAAGAATCCTGAGATATTTGAAGGGTTCGATAAACTGTGGAATACTATTTTGACGAGATTCTGGAGACAAAGAAACAATAGTTAATTGTTTTTCAGATGCTGATTCGTGTAGAAATAAGGAAGATCGAAGAAGCACAACTGAATATTTCTTTCAAGTATTTTGTGCTCCAATCTCATGGTGCTCGAAGAAACAATCTATAGTGGCATTATCACCTTGTGAAGTTGATTATATAGTAGGATCATATGCTGCATGTCAAGCAATTTGGATCAGGTCTGTACTTAAAGAAATAAAGGTCGAAGTGAAGAAATCTCTTGTATTGCAAATCGATAACAAGTCAGCCATAAATCTAACGAAGAATCCAGTTCTGCATGGAAGAAGTAAACATTGAAGCAATGTTTCACTTCTTGAGGGAAAAGGTAAATCGAGGTGAACTTGGAGTAAGACATTGTTCGAGTGAAGCACAATTGGTCGATATTTTCATCAAAGGATTGAAGATCGACAAATTTCTGAATTTGAGAAAGAAATTAGGAATAGTTCAGATCGACTATGACTAGCATATGTTCGACAACTTGGATTATGGGGGTGTGCTGAAATATTAAATTAGATTTATTAAAATATTATATTAGATTAAATTTGATTATATTTAATATTTAAATATAATCTAAGTCGTGTAGATCCAAGCTCAATTAGAGTTGTATATAAATAGTCCTAGTCTGTATCATTATTTGTACAATTCAATAATATAAATTCTTATTTCCTTTATTATTCTCTCCTCACTAAAAATGTCTCACGCACTAACAGATCTCACATAAACGTCAGTTTACTATAGAGTAATTTGTTTAAGAAATTTAGCTAAATTTGTTGAAGGTTCTGTTAGATTGTTGCTAGTCTAAGTAGTCTTTATTCTAAAAGAAAATTTGTTTTCAAATTTATTAAATATGTAATGTATCTCATTTAGATATGAAAGCATAACTCTTGTATTCAAGGAGATCCACTCAAATATGCCTCAAGTTTGAGAGGGAAAATTCACTTTGATTATTTGAATTTTCTTCGTTATAAAATATGGGATGGATTGAATAATTGAGACATTAATACTCACTATGAATCCATTTGTTTAATGTATTATATATGTATTTTATTAGTTAGTTTTGATAATTTAGAATATTAAATATATGTTCAATGTTTTGATATTATAATTTATAATTTATTATTTGAAATGTGTTTCATTATGAAATCAGAATTGATAAGAGAACATAGGTTGTGAGATGCAACAGTAGATTGGAATCTCCGACGAGGTGAAGGAGAGGACTAACCTGCAAGGATAACACTCCAAAATTTAAGTAAGTATGTGAGCGAGATGAGTGAATGAAGTTTGAATTTGAAATTATGTCCTTGGAGAATGACACACTTTTATTTATATAGTGGGGGTGGTTGTAACTGCCAATTATTCTTCATACGTAAGGTGTGGAGAGTTGTTTGGTATATCTTAGATTTGGATATCCTATGATACTCCCCAGAGTAATACTCCTATGCTGCAAGAAACTAGATAGATTGTTACTTTTTTGGGTCGCGGTCATTGGCCGCCCAAAAATAGTTGCCCTCAAGCTCTTGTCTCGGCTTGGAAGTCCAAGGGATTTTGTCGTAATCACTCTTTTGTGCCAGTCATATCCTGGCTTGAATGGAAACCTAAGAGGTGGTGTTACTGTCCATAGGAATCTTCTCTTTTTATATGTGCAATGCCACATATGTTTATTCGTAGGTTCTATCATAATGATTACTCGAGTGTTTTCTTAAGGCGATATGCAGCATTGATAACACATATTACTATTTGGTAAGACACCACGCGATCTCTAAAGAGTTAGTTTTTTGGTTTCTTAATATGTTAACTTTTCTTCTTTGTCCCATGTATTTTAACAACATATTTCTGTAACTAAAGAAAGTAAGTAGTGTTCATCATGAGCAAAAATGAAAATAATATGTTTTTCTTCTTGGGTTAATCTTTTTGCTCCATCAATTGTTTCTATCTTTGCTCAAGAGGGTGACCTTGATAAAGGCTTTCTGGATTTCTAGACGTATGTCCTTATTTTGATTGGGATGTATTGACCTTAGATTAAGACAAAAGTATTTGCAATGAATGCGGAAAATATGTCACTCCATTCTATCAATGCGCATTTTATATCCTAATGTTTCGCTTTCCCTTTAACAACTTTGAGATAGAGGTTTTAACCACTTGATAATCACTTTTTCACAATTGCACCCTACGAGTTATGTGTATATTAACGTCTTCCAGTATTGGAACCAATATCAGGGGAAATCCTCTTTGTCACTTTTCTTCCATCTTTTTAGAGTACATCGTAGTTCAATAAACCAGACACGAAGTCAATGCTTGATTAATTTGGTGCATGTTATTAGTTGTTTTAGAATATTTTTAGAGAGCCTGAAGCATTTCAAAAATCAGTTCTTCTGGGT